CTTTCCTTTCCTTTCCTTTCCTTTCCTTTCCTTTCCTTTCCTTTCCTCTTCTGTTTTCTTCCGTCTTCCTTCCTTCCTTCCTTCCTTCCTTCCTTCCTTCCTTCCTTCCTTCCTTCCTTCCTCTTCCTTCTCCTTCTTTTTCAAATTTAATTTTAATTTTTCTTAGGCTTAGATCCTTTATGTGTCTCCAGGAGCTGACAACGTGATGTGGTGCTCTGTGAACGAGGGCAGAGCTGGGAGGCTTTATTTTATTGTATTGGTTTGCTTGTTTCTTCCTGAGAAATTCTTAGGTTAAGGCTATTCTCCTGCATCAGCAGAGACTACAGGTAAGATAAGAAACTTGGATGAAACTAAGTTATTAATTAATTAATTTTTGAGACAGGATCTCAACATAGCTCTGCCTGTACTGGGACTCACTCTGTAGACCAGGTTGGACTGGAACTCACAGAGACCTGCCCTCCTCTGTCTCCTGAGTGCTGGGATTAAAGGAGCACCCAATCTAAAATTTAGAATTTTTAAAAACATATTTATTTTAAACCTTTTTAAATTTTTTTTTTTTAAAAATGCTTGATGAGCATAATGATTTTCTGTCACTGGTTTTAGCCCTAGAAAAACAGTCAAAAAGTTTTGTTTGGTTGGTTTTTAAATGATCCTTTTAGCCATGCTTGCTAGCACTGCACTTTCTTCCTTTTTCTTTTGTGGTGCGATGGGCGGGAGAAGAAAGGCATGTGGCAAACTGTCTATCTGGAGCACTACTGCCATCCTGAGGATGTAGGTTCAAATCCCAGAGCATAGTTATTATCGAGTTCTGGAGAGCACTTCCGGTTTTTACAAATCTATTCTGTAAAGAAGACTAGCCGGTCCTAACATCAAAATGGCCCACCTTTTTTCGTCTAAGTTAGTCTAGGAGTTCTGAGCAGAAGTTTGATATTGACCGGAAAACATTTTATCAGTGTGGAGGAAGGCAGGAGCCGCTTGCAACTTTCCGGAAGTTGTGAGGCGGGACTTCCTCTGACTGTTTCGCCTTTGCCTGAAGGAACATTACAGCTTATGAAACTGACTAATTGAAAGTGTTTCCTGCCGCTAACAACAACAACCTGTTAAATTGTTTTGAGACAGTCGCTCACCGAGTCAAGGCTTCCAAGGAACTTATTAGGTATTTTCTTTATACAATAAATGCAAATAAGTGCAAATCCCCATAAGAAAAAAAAACATCAGGTCAGACTAAAGTATAAGAGAAAAAAAAATCTCTATGATTTTTTTCCAATTAAGTAACTTCAGTGGAGGAACATTCCTTTTCTGTAGTAAACCTCCATCTACCCTTGTAGCCCCTTGTATCCCCTTTAGATTACATATAAGAGAAAATAAGTGATACGTTTCCCTCTCAATATTGTATCTTGTTTTCAGTAGTGACAGACGGAGACTAAGTTTTACAGCCAACCAGCAACAACACCAAAAACCTGAATTAGATCTCAGTCTGTTTTACTAATACAGATATGACTAGCCAGTTAAAGACTGTTATTCACTTCAGTATATATATATGACTTGTGTTAAGAGATGAATCATGAGACAAAGTCTGAGCAACTTCTGTTTGATTAATATATATTTCAGAGATTTACTGCTCAAAATGAGATAAGGATGTGGCTCCAAAGAAAGCTATCTGAGCATGTCTTCTAGGAATCCAAGCAAATAGGTATGCCCGATTTCATTTACTCTAGCCTAGTAAATGGAGGACTATTTACAGGCACCAGGGGTAGAAAAAAAAAAAGAAAAAAAAAGGAAAGCAAAAGTAAAATGGCTGCTCCATTAACCTGCTTCACTGATTTTGACAAAATGGAGGGCAGTGTTTGTTAGTTCTTTTTCCCTGTCAGAGACTGGTTCTGTTTTTTTTTTTTCAAACAAAGAAGGGCGGGAGAAGCTATAAAGATGGCGGTTCTGGAGTTATCTGGAGCCCTACTGCCACCATGCGGCCAAAGTTTCGAAGAAAGCAGTGCATCTACCAGCTTCTTTCCCATGAATCTTAGCAGTACGCAAATTTTTTTTCCTTTTTCTAGTCCTTGACTAGACTTTATCTACTTTCTTTCCTTAAAAGAAATAAGCTTTTATGGATCTCTCCTTCCGCCTCTCCTCTTCTCTCTCTCTCTCCCCTCTTTTTCTTTGTTTATTCATTTACTTATAGTCAATATATACCCCAGTACATCTGAACCATTAATTAATTAATTAATTAAAATAGTTTATACTCATCTTTGAACAGTAGAGTTAGTCAATTTGGCTATAAGAAGACTGTTTGTTGCTATAGCCCCACTGGGAAGACATTTCCTATACACTGATTTTCCCCACTTCTTAGCTCCTTGGCTGTAAAGTCCCTATTAGCTTTTGCTGTATTCAGGATTGAGCCTCATTTATGTCTCCCCTGTTGAAAGATTTTTATTGCAAGTCTTCATTGTTTTAACAATAAGTAAATTAATTTTGTTATTAATAGTAATAAGTCAAGTCAGGGTGCTTAGAGATGCATACTTCTGTCATTGATTTTTCTGAATTTCTTTATTTCTCTTAGGCCAGGCTTACGAAGATTTGTGTATAAAGCAAAAAACAATAATTTGGGTTGTCAAAGATATGAAGCAAAGCAAAGGGCAGTAGTATATAATACTAAGAAATCAAGATTCTTGCTGAGAATCGTGGCGATCACCACAGTCCCCAGTTTGGCTTCAGACAGAAATAAGAAGTTCACCGTGTGGTTTGTCCAAATATATTAAAGGAGCTGCCACATCTCCTGATGACCTTGCTTCTGGTTAGCATTTTTGTTGTTGTTGGGCTTATTTATTTTTTTTAGATCGGAAGGGCAGGGATGGAGTGGGAATTTGTATGTATACCTGAAAAAGACACGCTGATTGTTTTGGTGGCCCTAATAGAGGTATTTTTTTACTCTCGGCCCTTGAGAAGCTGAATTGGGCATATTTTGGTGAGTTCTAGACTGGTCAGGTCTGCAGTCTGAAGAAAGACGAATAGGGTCATGAGGATGTCATTCCCATGGGCTCAACAGTTCCTGTAGCTAATTCTGCCTTTGGGGAGATATCAGAGGCTTGCACTTAGACTTGGGTCGCTTTCTTTTCTGCAGATGGCTCTGGATCCTGGTATGTTCTCCCTGTGGACCAACAGCTGTCAGAAGACAGCACAGGAAGTGAGGGGGCAGGATCTCCACTCTTCCAAGTTTCTTTGTTTTTACTTAGAACTGTGAGTGTCACTGAAAGGGTTGGCTTTCTTTGGTGCTCTGGATCAGACAGCAGTATTATGGTGAGCACACTGCACCTTTGGCTGGCTGTCCAAAGACATTCACATATCAAATACGTAACAAATGCTTGTAAACTTCCCTTTACTTTCCTGTCCATTATACTCTGACAGAAACTAAAAGGACTCCAGAGCTTACTATTACTGCAGGGAAGACAATTCTTGGTCCATAGGACAAGACTCGGTGGAAAATATCCCACAAAAAACCTGCATTTGACTCTTAAAGGCCTGCAAGTATCAGAACTGAGTTATTACCCCATGACTTCCTGTGTCTGTATGCCCTGGAAGCTGTACGATCCTGTGCACAAGACCTCTCAAGCTCCAGGTTCTACACAAAAGTAGTCTTAGGGTTCGGATCATAACTTGAGCTCTAGTAATATGCTTATACCTAAGGAAGGATGGATAACAGTAAGGTCTGGTTCTTTTTCAATCCCAGTGGGCCCCACCTTTGCGTACTGCTAAGATTCATGGGGAAGAAGCTGGTAGATGCACTACTTTCTTCGAAACGTTGGCCGCATGGTGGCAGTAGGGCTCCAGATACCGCCAGAACCGCCATCTTTATAGCTTCTCCCGCCCTTCTTTGTTTGAAAAAAACCAGAACCATTCTCTGACAGGGAAAAAGAACCAACAAACACTGCCTTCCATTTTGTCAAAATCAGTGGAGCCAGGTAATAAAGCAGCCATTTTACTTTTGCTTTCCTTCTCAAACTAAGGACTAAAAAAACTCCATCCAGACTTTTGTGTTTTTCCCTAGGTAAATTTTCACTGGATTTTTGTTCACTAAAGTGTGATTTCTTTCCCTTAGTGGTACCTGTCCAATACATGGTCATTGCGTCTTTAAATCTGTAAATGATGTAGGCAATGGCAGAAAAGGGAAGAGATTTCTTAAAATCAATGTACAAGTCAAGATCACCTTTAGTTCTTTGTATTGAATCCAGAACCATGTGTAAACTAGGCAGACTTTTTTCCTTTACTTTAGACCATGTGTGTATATATAACTATATGGTTTTACATATATATTTGAACTGGAGATTGAACTTGGGACATCAGGAAAGGCAGAGAAGTCCTCTACCAAAGACCCATACATGAAGGGCATTTTCGTTCTGAAGCAAGGGCTCCCAGTGTTGCTTGGATTGACCAGGAATTTACTATGTTGACCAGACTGCTCTGAAATGTAAAATCTGCAGCCTCAGGAGTAGGTGGAATTACAAATCTTTCCCTCCCTGGATATCCTGCTTTACTTTTTTCCCCTCAGGCAAGGTCTTACTTTGTGACTCAGCTGGGCTCCAATTGCCAAGTCTCAGATTCCTGGCCTGTTTAGGCTCTATCTGAGATTTCAAGTCTGTTCTATCAAGCCTGACCCAAATAGTCAGTAGCCTGGTTACTCTCCTACACAGGAGAAGTGCTCTGTGTTTTGTATAGACCTGAGGCATAGGAGAAGAAGGGTAGCAGCCAGCATTCCTACCTGTCAGTCACACTCTACACTGCTGTACTGAGTACTTATAGTGTATATCAGATTACTCTGTGTTCTATTATTTTCTCCCATGAGAATTCAGTACCTTCCAATGTCATGAGTTATGTTCCACCACTTACAGTGATTTTTATTGGGGGATGGTGCATACGAAGAATTGTTACTTAAATCTTTGGTACTCTGACACCTTATATGATCTTTCATTAGTAACTTTAAGAATGATGCCTTCATACCACTCCAAAGATGATATGCTAGTTATAAAGTAGTGCCAAAACTTGTTTCAAAGCCAGTGATGGCCTTTTTGAATATCTATGTGCATATCATTTTGCATATACATCTATGCAAATATATCTGGATTTTATTTCACAAAATACTAAAATTGGATGGGATAGGTAGATCATAGTTTGGATTAGATCAGTTTATATTTAGCAAAGACTTGAGGAAAATGAGAATACAGGAATGTTGTCAATCTGGCTTATCAACAGTATATTATAAAGAGCAATATTTAAAGAACACTCTAAGAATTACTTTACAAATGGAGATTCAGTGAGATGCTTTTGTTTGAGTTAGGTTCTCTAGTTCTGGCTGGCCTGGAAATTTGCAATGATGTTTCCTAGGATGATTATTGATGTGTGCAGCCATATCAGGCCTGAGAGATACTTCGTTTATTTAGCCAATCTGTAGCTTACTTACTTGTATTGCAGAATTCCTCTGTTGGAAACAGTAACCCAAAGTACATGTTAATGTTGACTGGAGAACAGGTGTTTAGATCAGGAGGACTCTGATTTCATAAATGGCTTAATCACTGTTGGAGCTATTATATGATCTTGACAGAATTAGAGTTGGAGGTGAGGCTTTTTGTTTTTGTTATTGAAAGGGTATCTATGAAGCCCTAGTTGCATTGAAATACATGAACCAGGCTGCTAAGGACCAGAAGTCAGTCAGACATCATGAGAAAGGACTGGAGGCCGAATGCTGCTTTTGCAGACAGGAGCAGTGCAGGATAGGACCACTGACTGCACAGACTTCTTCCCTAGAGAAGAGGAATGAGGAAGGTGGGTGCTTCAAAGTTCCTTTCCTGTCTGCTTTGCTTGCTTTGTGTTAATATTTCCTTTTACCCATTTATTTATTTAGTAAGAACACAGGTCCAACCTTGTTAGATATGGCATTGATATAAAATGCAAAAAGGAAGCTAAATTTTAGGAGTACAGCTGCTTCTGACAAAAACAATGATGGCTAGACCCACAGTTACAGAGACTGCCTCTGTATTGATGTTTTTTTCAGGCTGGAAAGGCGGGGGAAGAGACTGCAGTCAGGGCACTTTCCCTGCTCTGGGGCAACACTGCCATCATGCGGGAGTATGTTTCTACAGACACGCAACATGCACACACTACAACTTCTGGATCATGCTTGTCGCCATTTTGAAACAGAGACAGCTGCAGAATTCTAAATGGCCAAGCTTGCCTCTTACATTTTCACCATCAGTAGGCAGACTGCAATCACAGGACCTTTCAGAGTATTAGTGCAGACCCTGCT